TTTTTAAAAGTTCTTTTTTTTTCTGCTTTTTAATTGATAGCAGTACAGAGTTTAAATGAATCTTAAATCAAGGAAAAACATAAAATATGTAATTCAAAACGTGAGAGTGAATCTTAAAATAGACATTTGTCAAGGAAAAGCATTTTAAGCTTATTGTATTTGACAGCTCTGATATTGTAAAAGACCATTTGGAAAAAACTGGCTTATTCTCAAGTTGCACATGAGCCGCGCGGAAACAAGTCCATTAACGACAGAAACACGGAAACTTTGAATTTGGCAAAAGGAAAGATTCTTAACAAAATAATCGAAATTATCTTCTGTAATTTCTTCACTTAGAAAGTAAGATGTGCATTTTTTTTCTAGAATTTTCATAACGTAAGCAGGACAGTATTTTAAATAAATGATATGTACCTATAGCATTGGGCGTTCTTTATAGGGTCTTTTCCTCAACTGGAGTTCAAATGGTGATATTTTCACAATAATGATATAGCAGTATATTTTTTTAATTATACGCTTGGTAAAACATGAGCATTTGTTGGTTATATTTGGACCGCCTGGCAGTTTTTTACATTTGCCTATTTTTAATCAAAAACTTTAATAAATAATAATATAGCACGATAAAATCCTAATGGTCAAAGACTTAAAAATTAAGTACAAAACGCGATTAACAGAAAAAGTGCTGACTAGAATCATATAATAATTACTAAACATTAGCCTTTATTTATGAAATAATATTAGGTAACCTTGCAAATACACGTTTTATCTTAAGCTTAGGTGTTTTCATTCGCCCATCACTGGTTTTAAACTATGCATGGTACAGTGCTTAGCGACTAAAAAGAACTTATATTCAGTAATTGTAAACGCTAACTACAATTACAATTGATAGCACAATAGCCTTTCAACTGTATCGAATGAATTTATTGGTTGGATATAGATGCACATTTCGTTTATTGTTCTTTGATTTTTTTTTTTTTTTTTTGTGTGTGTGTGTGTGTGTGTGTGCATTGGCTTTTATATGTCTCAGACTCTCGCATATCCTGTTAGGAAAAAATAGATATTATAATAGATTACAAATCCGTCTTAAGAATTAATAGCATTTTATCCTTTTAATTTGTATATGTACAAAATTGAAAACGGAAAATTAAAATTAGCAGTAAAGCTACAGTTCTATTTACAACGAATATATTATTTATTTTTTTTTCTCATCACATAAGTATATTCTTTTTCTGGTTTAGGTCTCGTGGGTCTAAAAGTAAGTGGTTTTTAATTACGTTCTCAGTAGATTAATTACACGAGTTCGGAAGAAATATTTTTCTTTCGGCAGTTATCAGACCATGATGACCAAAGTTTTATCTCACAGTCTATGTACTTTGAATAACATAATCTAGCAGTTAAAAAACTGATAGAACTGAATCCTGTTTTCATTCTCTATTCTTAATTATTCTGCTGATAGCATATTTTTTGTCACTTTTGCAACATGTTTTCGTTCTGCAAAAGTAATTACAGAGAACCATCTTTTCGACACTTATTACCCCAACGCAACAATTAACACTTCGTATTGCTCTTCAAAATTGCGTATATAAATTCCATTAAAACATGGAAGGGCATAGTGGCTGATAACGTATATTAAGAATATGCATTTTCAAGATTACTTGCACACGCAGTTTACATTAAGTAGATCACTGTCTCATCGCAGCGCTTCTATAAATAAAATGTCAGTCAACTGGTAAAGTAATAAAGCTAGTAAAAAAAGCCGGTAAATTAAATAATAATTTCTTCTATTTTTTCATCGAACTTTTCTTGTTAGTAAAGATATACAGTCCAGTCTTTTTAGGCTGCATAAAATTAGGCATCTGGGAATTATCACTATGTCTTGTAAAAACTACAAAGACAGGGAAAGGGTGTAAGGCCCCTTTTATTAATTCAAATAAAGTTTAACAAACGGCACCAATTCGTGCTTGTAAAAGCCAACAGTTAGGATCGATAGGAACAACGAGATCGATAGAAAATGATATTAACATAAAGTAATTGGTTAGAAACTTAAATGATACTTTACAAAGATAACATGCTTATTAAAACGCTTCAGTATTTTAAGATAATTAAGAAGTTTATAAATTGCAGTAAGGAAAAACAACCCGATTTTATATGTGTCAACAGTGGAATGCAAATTTGAAATGTTCCCATACTTACGAGATACTGATTATGCAGCATTGCAAAAAGGCCATAATAATATATAAATATGAATTTCTTAGTACATTTTTAAATGAGGTGATAATACTTCAAAATACTTTAAAAATTTCTGATAGAATGGAATTTTATTTATTAGTTTCAAGTTTAATCCAATCGTATTTCTCTTTCAAATTCCACTTAAAATTTAATTTAGAATCCTATTTATAAACACTTTGATCTCGTTTAATTAAAGTCACCTGGTCTAATATTAGGACAACCAAATATTAAAGAGGTTATATATATATACATAAAACATCTTAATATATATCTAATGATATTTTTAAAGCAATTGATTAAATTAAATTCTATTAATATTGCTTAATAATGTGTTGCCGATTCTCTACCTAAATTGCATCCCTGTTCCTAAATTTTGGCGAAATCCTTTCTTTAGTATAAAATATATTAACCTGTTGGCGCCCGCCAAATCGCCAAACTCATAAATCTGTCATATTACATAAAGTACTTAAGAACACTCCTGATGAGAAGATAGCGTCACCTCGTGATTTCAATTAATATCGCTGATTGGAGGAGCCTCGTGACGTACACATATGTATAAGTATGGCTTCTGCTCAAGGTACGAGGAGAACGCTTACGAGATGGATGCTAAAATAAACCTACCACTTTATATTCCAAAATTTGTCTCATTCCTGTTGCCCCGGCTGCACAAAACAAATAATGTATGAGAAATTACATTTCATATATAACTTAAGGATAGAGGAACAAGTATATATATACTTTTTTATTCAAGGACGCGGTAATACGGACCGTATATATGTAACTCAAGGATGCAGATTTATAAATCCTTTCCTCGCGCTTCTCCAGCTTTGGGGAACCAGTGAAGAGAATTTAATTAACATGATGGAGTATTGCTTAAAGATCGAGAAATATGCTACATTTAGAGTTACGAACACACTCCTTTTATGGATGGGAACTTTTTACGACTACTATTCTGCGAAAAGACAACAACTAAAATGGAGATCTTACTTAAGTCCAGTTTAGACATTGTGATTTTCATGCTATAAAGCCTCATCAGAAAACAGCATGATGACATCTGTTTGCAACAATTGTGCTTTAAATGCACACTTGTAATGAGAAATTTTATTTAAATCTCTATTACAGTACCTCAGTCCATTGCTTCAAAAAAATAAACAAATAATTATTTTAATTTTAGATTATCACTTTATAAGGATATATTCAGTTTCACATTAAAAAGGTATCCAATCACTTGTCATACTTTGTACCTGATTTTCTAATTTCTCAGTAAGGTGCCGTTTTCCAAAATATTTCACGAGTGCATTTGTAGCTCACTCACAATCCACCAACAACTACTCTTAAAAGCAAATCAAATAAGAATAAAATAAATTCTACATTCAATGGTCAGAACTTTTGTTTCCGGGTTAAGAGGACTCGAGTTCCGTTTTGTCCAAGGTTCATCCTTTAATTATGCTCAAACAAAGTAAAACTTTTTAAAGGTAGGGCTGTCAATCTGGTATTGAGGTAGCGCTTGCTTTGCATTTCAGTTAAGAGGACAGTACATATATCTGATCATCTGTGACGAAAAGTAAATTTGAAGAAAGTAAGGTCAGTTGCTTCCGTAGCTCTATATTTAGAGTACTAATCTGTAGACTGGGATACGTGGGTTTTATTCTTACATGAAGTTATAAACTATTCACATCTGTTGTTAAAATGTGCTACTGCCAATCTAGAAACGCCGGATAATATCTCTACACTCATCAAGATCGAGTAGTCTCAGTTTCTGAAGAAAAGAGACGCCTACTCTTTAAGCTGTACTACATAACTGTCTCTTCACTTGCTCCATATTCGTAGTTGTCATTCTCATGTAAAAACTTACTAAAGTCAAGTCGATAGCTCGATAGCTTCAGTATTGTGAAACCATAGTTAAATAGTAATTACACATTTAAATCATAAAAATCCCTTCTTGAAAATTAAATTAAAAAAATTCTTTTCTATGACCTTAAATAAATGAGTAACATTACAATCCGGGGTGAACATCTGTAAGAAAGCCCTTTAAATGTGTTAGATGATGTAAACCCAATTTTGCAATAACGCATTAATTACTTAATCATAAAATTATGAGATTTAGGAATAATATGAAATAATAAGAATTTGATAGCAAATTTACGATTTTCTTTCGCGATACGTATTCGGCACATTCTATTAAATCTTGCTAATTCAATATCATTAGCAGTGAAAACAGTTTTTGAATGATTATCTTTTCAAATTTAAATCTTTTACATCTTATAATTTGGTTTGCGGCCCTGCAGTTATTTTTATTCAGTAAACATAAATCTAAATCAGAAACTGTAGAATTGTAACGTAAAACTAAATCTAAACCAAAGCCTATAACTTAAAATAAATACTGAATTAGTACAAGTAACTTCCTTATCCAAAGCTGTCATGGTCGATTACGGTGAAGAAGAAAGCACTGAGCTTCTAATACGCAACACATGTATACCTGATATACCTAATCTATCAATAATTACTTTCCTATACGTAAGTGCATCAATGTAAAATTAAGGCATCGTGTAAAATTAAGGCATTTAATAAAAAGGAACTCAAACAAAGAAAGCCATAAAAAGAATTAAGCAACGAAGGTAAAATTTCCCTCAGGGGATTAAAGTTATTCATATTCCCAATTTTTTTTTTATCTTTTTCATTTAAAACTAATTTTAAAAGGGAAATATGACCTATAATCTTTTAAAACCAGTAAAAATATTAATACGTGATACAGAAATTTTTTCTTTACTCACAATTAACCCGACTAGCAAAGATCTGTGAAACTCTCGAAGATATGAAGTGGTCACCGTATGAAAAGTATCTTTCTTCTCAGTATCCTTTCCAAAAATGTATCCCGCACAACAGCGTTACAGAAATGTATCAGAAGAAATTGATTAGAAAGTCATACCTTCAAAATATGACGAATTCTTTTCCACAGTCCTACGGATGAATGAGCCGCATGAGTGCAAATGAAGTTGTTTTATAGCGGCCTCGAAACCGGCCGTTTCTCTCAGCGATTGGTAGGATTATTACTGGCTCTTGTAAGTGGTATCTAGGTTAGGGAATTCGATGCCCATGCAAATCTCTGTTGATCTTTCAGTGAAAGGGATTTTGCTGCAAGCGTCTTTGTCTCTGAAAAAAGTCATGCTTTGTTAAGACCCCAGAGACCTGCTTATGTGTTATGGATTATTTGAATTTAATTCTACGAGCTCTGTTTTTATAAACTCAGTTGCGATTACTTCTTCAAATGTTCAAGGGTTTTAATCGTTAAGGGGTTTATCATACAAAAGATATATCTTTAAAGTGTACAAAGGATGTCCTGTTCTATTTGTAAAGAAAGGAAACATTTTGGAATATATATCGCACTGAATTATTTGTCATAAGAAGTACAAGTTATAAAGGCGATAAAATAAATTTTAAAGTTTTTGATATAGAAGTTTTTATTTATTACAAAATTATTATTATTACAAAAAATTTAAAACATGTAAAATAAGCTGTTTAGGTTTGGCGGATCCTAAAAGCTAGCGTGTTTAGTTGTCTTCGGCGACATGTATTTATTGTACTTTATATATTTTCAGTTTTCTGTTTGCTTGATCAGGATTGATTCTACTGGATTCCCAAATGGAAGACATTTACTTAATTTAATTTTAATTGTTATGGCTTATAAACTCATAGAGCGTGCTCCTTTCTCCTCTCTCAAAGGGTACAGAAAATTTAAATACGGCTAACGTTTATCACACAAAACACAAAGAATTTACTTACTCAAAGCAATACATTGGTAAATTGACTTGCTTTCGAAAGTACTATAACTGGTAATTAGTGCACGTTAGTGTATTTTAATTATCTATTCGTAGTAATTAGTTACAATGAGCGCTCAATCTTGTATAAAAACGGTTTTGTTCCTCGAGTATATGCTAATATCTCATCCTGTATTATGTATTCTAGAACTAAATCTATAGCACAGTAACTGGTCAGTTACTAGTAGCGAAAATAACATTTTAAAATGCAAGAAATTAAACGAAAAATGATTTGTTTATACACTCTGCAGCTGCATTTAGCAAAATTTTTATTTAAATGAAGCATTAATACAACTGCAAGATCGGAATGTATGTTTACCGTACCCGAAATGTACGGTAAACTTTAATGCACCCAGATCTATTTTCAGAATTAAAAATTCTATAATAGTAAACTACTTTAAGTTATCATTGATTTGCATGTAATAATGACATCAAATAAATTTATAATGGCACTTCCCTCCGTGTTACAGATTATAGGGTTTGGGTTTGTAGCTGGGAAACATGGTATTCACTTGTTATGTTTTACGCATATCGTCAATAAATTTGTTTTTTTTTTTTTGCAACCTTATAGAAACCATAAATGCGCATAATTTATTGCATTTTCCGTCTTTATTGTCAATAAGATTGTTTAATTGCAATATTTTCAACATTACGTGGATGAAATGCAGGACAAGTTATTGATTGCAAAATTTGTTTATTTTACAAATATAATTATTAGCGATTTTTTAATTAAAAAAACTTTTTTCTATAATTTTACCTAAATTTTCATTACGTTTTCGGTGTGCCTCCTTCTTCTTACGAAATATATCGACTGCAAGAAGGAAAAATTTCAGATAATTGATAAATTTCTTATAGCTATTTTTGCTCCGGTAAATTAAGCTAAAAGGACATATCATAAATTTCTATAACGAGATACTAACGAGGTGTGGAATGTATAAGAATAGCAACTTCCCAATCTGAAATCAAAACCCTTTTCCTTTGCGGTGAATATCTCATTAAGGTTAACGTTTGTCCCTTGAAATGATTGCTTTGTGTCTGTTCATAAATTTTTAAATTGTTCATAAATAATTTCTTTCTCAGTAAGCTTTTTAATTACTTATGTTTCCTACAGCTCTACAAAGTATACCACTAAGCTTGCAAAAGTATGTTGTAATACTAACGTAATAAATAAATAAAACCTAATAAAGAAACAAAATCTGGCAGGAACTCAAAAAATAATTAAATTTATTATTAAAGAAAAGTTTGGAGTAATTAAAAGATAGAAGCAACTATTTTAAACTTAAGAAAAGGAATAGGAATTTCCCAGTAGTCATAGACCTTTTTATCAATCTAAAGCTCCTGCTGAAGCTGGCAGTTTATATGGAGATCTTAGGATTCAATGTAAACAGTTTTTGTTTTTTCAATATTCAGCTTGAACGTCAAATAAAGAATAATATAGGCTTGTAATTAGAAATTTCATGACATCATTCTCATAAACTACATGAAGTGTGTATTCGTCCAAAATTGATAAAATGAGAAAGGAAGATAAATTATTTAGTTAGGTGGTTAAGATTTTTCTTCCTATTTAGTGCATGACATTGTAACGTAACTGAAACGCACGTCTGGTGAGCTGTCGGAAAGTCAAGAATTTGAGTTCCGGCCAGGGCATTGCACATTTTTTACGTATCTTGCTCCAAAATCAAAATGCCTCATTGACTTTTCAAGTGGCCCCCGATCTAAAAGTTGGTGGATAACAATTCGTAACTACCAGGCTTTTGCGAATGGCTTCTGGCCTTTCCCGTAGACTTTTAATTTTATAGTTTCTGCCTTCATACCGTGTGCCTTCGTGGTGTGACTTTTAACCACAACCGGCTAGCAAACGGAAGGTCCGGAACTATTTGGGTCTTGGCTATGACATTGCACATTTTTCACGTCTCCTGCTCCTGAATTAAAGTGCCTATAACTTTTTCTTTATTATACGTTAATTTTTGAGATTATATATAGCAGTCCTTGAAAGGAAAGCATAAAGTTTCTTAAAGTGCAAATTTTAGTTTATATAACTCAAAATCATTGAATTAGAAGTAATGCGGAATACATGCTCATTTTCGTACCAAATGTTTATTAATCTTTTTAGTTTTGGTATTACCTATTTCTTGAATTTTAGGGAGTATTTTATTTGACTGTTTTACATCGTAAGTCGAATAAGCAAATGAAACGAATACGAAAACATTTATTTAGACGAATTACATATTTATTACGAACTTACGAAAGCAGACTTCCACTTTTCATTACAGTTACTTATCTTAAACGCACTTGATCAAAATGCAAAATTTTGTTGTAGGGATTGATATTTATTTTAAATAACCACTTAAAGTTTAAGTTTACTTTATTTCCTAAAGGCCTTCATTCCAATAATTGTCAGTGCCATAATATTTAAATTTGGTAGCGCATGTGAAGAAAGGCAAATTCTACTCCGTTTAAATAGCTAATAACAACAAAATTATATTGTTTTAAAATTATAATTTAAAACAATATAATTTTAAAATTTTTTTCAGAAGACAGCAAGATTCAAATCAAGTTATATACCATTACACTTAATGATACAGTGATAAAACGGAGAGAAGAAAATGTTTAAATACTGAATTGTAGAAGGGAAAGTTAGAGAGAGTTTGAGGAAGCGCTGTACCTTTGTAGCGTGAGCTTCTGGTTCTGTTTTTATTGCTGGTGAAAGGGCGTAACAGGGCGTACTTTACTGTCACTACACTTCGACGCGGTTTTAAGTAACAGGATTATTTGAGCCCCGTAGAGTAATTCTGCTGCTTGTTAATATCTTCAAATTTTTAGTTTAGTTTTTGTTATTTGAGTTATCGCCCAAATGAGGCTAAGTTTGTTAGCATCAAGTCGAAGCATTGTGAATTTTTATGAGTTTTAATATAGGGTTCTTTTATTCTTCTCCTGTTTCGTTCTTACACGTACTTCAGCTGTCACATCAGAAGATAAACAAGTAGACATTACAATATCATTGAAGAAAATGGGATTTTAGAGAAAAATATTCTATTTAACCGGAAGCAAATCTACTGAGTATCACTGTTTACAAATCAACGATTGGAGACTAATAAAATTATTCTCTAAAAACTATAAACGTACATCATCAATCTTATTAATAAGTGCAATCATTTCCGTTTAAATAGCTAACAATATAATTTAAAAATTTTTTTCAGAAGACAGCAAGATGCAAATCAAGTTATATACCATTACACTTAATCATGCAGTGATAAAACGATTTAATCAGAATATGCGGACATAAATGTGTTTGATTCAGAGGAAGTGATTAAAATTAAGAGCATCTCACATTCAAACAATACAGTAATTAGGGCGCCCGTAATTTAAACGATGACAATAAAAACATAAATGCGACACAACAATTAATATACATCATCCGAAACCTGTTATTGCTTATTTCTATTTTATCAATCAGGTTCTAATGACAGCTGTACATTAAAATGATAAACTGCTGGCTACCATTTTTAACGTTTTCAGAAACTTCCGCTGCAGGCTACTTTTTTAATAGTTCTAGGTGTGTATGTGCTCCCAGAGTGCACGATTTCTAGACATTTAAAATTTTTCTTTAAATTCAAATGCCTAACAAAATTATCTCCAGCAGTATGTTAAGTGTAACTATATGTACGAGAAAACTGTAGAGTTTAAAAAGTCTTGCTGTTTCAAAGTATTTATAATAATAATTAATTATGCATATACATTTGAAAGGGAAATTTTACTCGGGAAAAAAAACTGACTTTCTAAGGGGAAGACTTAACGATATAATTATTTTATTGAGTTTTTGTAATAACAGAAGCATTTTTTCATATCTTCCCAAGCCTAAATGATTGTAATTATTGTCATTAGCACAACATAAGAAATATACTCAAAAGATTAAAAAAGTAAAGGGCGAAACAATAAAATTTTGCATTTAGTAATTTCAACTGGATCAGGAGTCGAAACAGGAATAATATTCAGGAATAAAATACCTGAAAAGGCTAGGCTTAGGACTCAGTGTTTCGGACTGTTCCAAAATCGTGCTCTAATTTTCCATAACTTTGTTTTCCTCGCATTAAAGCAAGGAAAGTGAGTGTTAAAGGTTACTAAAGAACACTGCGCCTCAATC